GGCTAGAATGTCGATACCTAAATCCAGAACTGTGATATGTGAAAACCATACCTCAGTTGCTGTATAACTCTGAAGACATCCAAACTCCATAGCTAACTCAGATTTTGACTTGAATATTTCCCTGACTGCCTAAAGTTCCATTTCTGCTCATACCCAGAAGTATATCAGTCTTGATCAGTAATGAACAGCTCGGAGCCTCTTTCCAACCTAATCCTGCTGAGGATCCAGGACATAGGCATCCCTCTACCTAACTTGTCCAAGGGGCTCAGTCATGCGTACTTTCCCAAGGCAGACCTAACTGATCAGATTCCCTAGTAGCACTCACTCAATCTTCTTTCAAACTATAGGGGAGGTAGTGGTGGTACTACTTTATCAAGCAGCTGAGTGGTTTGAGTAATCCCCAGGATGTTGGAAATCCAGACAGGCATTCAAACCCACATCTTCTGACAGTGCTTTCATGATCAGGCTTTGAGCTGTTCTAGAGTGGCTGTATTAATTGCTTCTCTTAAAGCTGTTTCACTAGGTGGAAAAGAAATACAGATCCATTGTGCCAAAGAAAAGGAGCAAGAGGAACATGACTCCCTAGTTTAGTCATTAAGGACTTTCATGAAGTCCAGTTCCTGTACCAGGGGCTGTTGGTACATTGTACACCAACATTAAATGCATAGATAGTCCCTGAAGCAGAGAACAGAGCCCAGCAGCCTATTTCCAAGTCTGTGCCATAACTGTAATCCTCCCTCTCTGAGCTGCAGGAGTATGATACCCCAGTTATCAAGTGTTTTGTATTGGATAACTCTAGTGTACTTTCTGAGTAGCCTGTAGGTCCTGTTGTGAGGTACCTAACTCCCTGTGTTAGCAGCACTCGGCTCCCCATTCAGGCAGAGGGTGTCAGTATAGCTAATTCAGGATCTTTGATTTTACTCCAAAACAAATTATCTTAAGAGTTAAACACTTACAGTGCTTGCCCTTGTCATGCATGAGGTCCTTCTTGGACTCCTCCTGTAGTTCCTAGGAAATGGCAGCCTTACAGTAGGCCATTAAAAGGGCCAGTCAGAAAAGGACGAAGGAGCTATTCAGTGTGTTATAACTGACCACTGTATCACAAAGTAATCACCATTAGGGGTGTGCAAAACGGTCCGTATTTGATTTGGATTCAGATTCAAACCAAATCAGGGACAGTGATTCAATTTGTTGATTCAAATGACTGTCCCTGATGTCATAGAATCATAGAATCATAGAAGTAGGGTCGGAAGGGACCTTGTAGATCTTCAAGTCCGACCCCCCGCCTGGGCGGGAGAAAAGACTGGACTCAAATGAGTCCAGCCAGGTAGTCATCAAGCCTCTTCTTAAAGATCCCCAGGGTAGGAGCCAGCACCACTTCCCTAGGAAGTTGGTTCCAGCTCCTAGCTGCCCTAACTGTGAAGTAGTTCTTGCGGATGTCTAATCTAAACCTATTGTCTAATAATTTGTGTCCATCATTCCTTGTCATGCCAGGGGGCGCTAGGGGAAACAGTGTCTCCCCTAAACCCTTCTGGTCCCCCCTAGTGAGTTTATAGACAGTCACCAGGTCCCCCCTCAGCCTTCTCTTGTGAAGGCTGAACAGGTTTAGGTCCCACAGTCTTTCAATGTAGGGTCTGCCCTGTAGTCCCCAGATCATGCGGGGACTACAGGGTAGCAGGCATGGCTCGTGAACACTGCGATGCTGGGGCAGATGGAGGGGCCCACAGGAGTGCAAGGGGCCCTCTCACATGCTCGGTGGTGAATCCGGAAGTGGACTGGAAGCCAAACGCATTGCCTCCCCCTGCATTCCCGCTGGCTCAGTGATCGGCCACAAGGAGGACCCCGGGTGCCCCCCCACAGCCAGGAGGCATCAGTTGCCAAGCTTGGGGGGGGTGCTCTCCCTGGCAGACCCGAAAGTGGACTGGAAGTGCTTCTGATCCACTTCTGGGTCTGCTGCCGAGCGTGCTGGGGAGCCCCCCATGCTCCTGTGGGATGCTCCATCTGCTCCAGCATCTCAGTGTTCACGAGCCTCCTGGTACCTTGAGGTATGTAGAAAAAACATTTAAAGCTATGTCTGAATCATCGAATCACTCCGAATCTCTCTGAATTGATTCAGAGGATCCCGATTCAATTCTGAGAGGTGAAAGGGTGTCCTGATTTGATTCAGATTCAGAGATTCGGGCCAAATCTCCACCGAATCGAGTCAGGGACTGAAGTTTTGCACAGCCCTAATCACCATGGGAATATGCAGATGTGAAAATGTGAAAAACCCTAATTGCAAAACCCAACAGTGGACCTTCTCAAGCAGAAGTCTGTATTCTACGCAGTGCTGAGCAGCAGCTCCTATGGGGCCGTCAATAGGAACAAAATGTTGCCTCTTCAAATATTACAAAAATATTCTTCATATAATCTCATATTTTCCTGGGGTAGTAAATCAGCTCATTGGCTCACACTTCTCTAAGCTATATATCAAATTTGAATGGATGTTTAGGCATACACCAAGAAAGGGAAAGGAAAGTAGAACATTTGCCAAAGATAATAATTGGAGCTTAAAATTAACTTTGAGTACTTGTGCTAGGAAATTTGGCTGGGTGACTAAGTGGAAAGCAAACACAAAGGGGAGGCAAGCAAGGTTGAATCCAAGATGTTGGGGGGGGGTGGTTCTTCCTCAGTTCAAACAAATATTTGTGGAAAAGGATTTAGTATTTGCTCAGCTGTCATTGAAGAAATGAGACTGTAACAGTTACCGATCTTCTCACAGTTCATAGCTAGGCCATGTGGTTTCTAACATCACCCTTTTGGGAAACCATCTTGCAACCAATAGGAGATGGTTCCCAATATACCCAGTCTGGCCATGATGGCTGCCACTACTCCAACAGCTGTACACCCTGGCAAGATTAAAAGTTCATCTTTGGGCTTCCTCTTATAATTCTGTGATAATGAGCCTTTGCCCTCCTCATATTCCCTGATGGGTTGCTTGATTCTGCCAAGAGATACTGCTCTGGGGCCAATGCCGTTCACTGATTTAAACCTAATTTGAACATTCAAGGCCAAATGCTGTCCTTATTTACACCTTATGGAACCTCATTAGCTTTAATATGATCTTGCTGGATGTAAATCAGGAAAGGATTTGGCCATCAACTTCTTATCTTATTGATCCTTTTGTACGAGGCAATAACTAAAGGGGCATTATGCCACCGTGCATTAACAAAGAGGTAACAAGGCAAGTATAGTTAATGGTGCCAGAAGTACAAGCCTCATAATTAATAGTCTTTGGAAAGACATACCAATTCTGGTCATGCTGATTGATCTTTTAGAGCCTTTATATTCATACTTCTGTGCCACATCTCTGCTTAAAACTGTATCCTCCTGTACCTGGGTCTGACATGTGTGGTCCTTTGCCTGCCCAGAATGCAATTCCAGGAAACCTATGCCCTGTAATCTTTAAAATAATTTAAAGCCAAACTGATGGCACAAACATACCCGAATGTTGCAACTGCATGGCCTTAAACCACAAAGCTAAAGATTATTAACTTCCGTTATCATACCTTAATTTGGATGCAGAGGACTTTAGAAGAAAAGAGTCTCTCTCACATTTCTGTAACGTAACCATGAGCATTTATGGTGGTACTAAAAAAATAATATCTATGTGTAGAGATAAACAAGGGCCCCCTTAAAGTGTCGGTCAGTAATTGTCACCATTGGAAAAACAAATAGAGCAAAAACTTTTTTAAAGAACAATTCTTTACTCGAGCTACTGTGTGACAGAGACGAGAACTCTCTCATTCTCTTTTCCGGAGTGGGAAGAGCGCCACAGAGCGTAAAAGAAAATTTGGGGTTTGACAAAAATGTCCATTGCACCTTAGCTTTAATTTACAAGTACTCAAGGATTTACTTTTTTCTCAAGAAAAGGCTTTCCATGGAAGGCTTGACACAATGTCTAGTTCACAAGTTCAGTTTGTCTAGAAAGCCTGTTGCTCTCCAATCTGCTTTTTATGTGTTTTTACTAGACACATTATTTCCCATGCTCTTGTGATGCACTCCAGAGGCACTAGTCTTTGGGGGTGCTAGTGGGCATAAGGATTCCTTGCAGTAAAATAACACAGTATTAACAGGGATGTGTGAAGTTGAGGGCACCGGGTGTTTAGGTAAGAGGCACTGCTGATCTAAATGAGCAGCGAACTGAAGGAGGAAAACGCACTTAAAATGCACTTAGGCAAAGAGTAATTTGCCTCTTTCTTTCATCACTTTTCCATGGGATCAATTAGATCAGGACTCTGCAAAACCTAGTATAGATTTTACTCAGTTTTTTTTACAAAAATATTTTGGGAGTCACAGCTTTCAAAAAGTAAGCAGGTTGTTCTAGGTTTCCTTCATAGTTAACAATGAATTTCCTTTGCCCCGTGTCCCACATCACCCAGCTCAGGCATTGAGGACACAGCAACTGAATGCCAGCCAACTTGCCCACTACACATTACCTTATCAATGCAGGGTGACAATAGCAGCTTTCACCTGACCCAGCTCTGAGTGAACAGGCAGTTTGGCCCACGTAGTCCTTCACCGTCTCGAGTGTGAGCTGAGGCAGTGGCAGAAGCTGGAGTTCCTCTGTGCCTCCTGTCAGAGGTAGCTCAATGTAGCTTTGCATGCACTGATCACTCTCCTCCACTTCTACCATATCCCAGATTTCCTCCTTCCTTATACTACTGCCAGGAGGGAAGCAGACAACGGCAGAGCTCCTTGGCACACCGGTGGAAAGAGGGTAGCGGCTGTGACTTGGTATGGCAGAGACCTCATAGCTCAGCTTGAGTTTGGTCCTTTTGCACCGATGGGGTAGGGAGCAGCATTTGACCTTGTGCTTCTTGTTTTCCTTTGGGCTGTTAAATAAAATAGCTGACCCTCTGAGTTCTCTGTCACCTGTATTTGCTTCTATGGGACTGAATATGATGCTCCCCCTGTTATTTATTGGCTAACTACATGCCCTGTCCCCTGTTTCCCCATAGGAGCCAGCTCCTAGATACAGCACACTCAGCCTAGACCATGGAATCGGAAGAGGGAGCTGCCAACTGAGGAACAGCAGGTTTTATCGGGTAAGTGGCACTGCTGTTACCCCACAAAGAATTTTACACACGTTTGAAATCTATTCCACGACCAGGTGGGGTTTTAAAACAACGGCACTAGCATCCTTGGAGCAGGGATTACATGCTGCCCTAGAGACAAACGGGCTAAAAAAGAGCAGGCCTCAAGGGCATAAGTGGTCTTTTTTCTTTTTAAAAGTTTGCTAGGCTTCTTGGCCTGTGAGAGAACAGAAATGATGGGATCCTCTGAGACGTTACATTTTATCTGAGCACTGCAGTTTAGCCCTTAGAGGGGGGTTTTCGGACAAAAAACCACTGCCTTCTGCCTTGCTCATTTGTCTTCGCTCTGAAACCTATCTCCTTGTTTTAATCCCAGAAAAGGTAAAGAACTTCTAAGGAAAGGT